TAGTTCACTTTTCAAAACGTAGCTCGTTCTTTAACAAGCTCATAGGAAAGAATCTAACTGCTTTCGACGGTATGGATGAGGCAAAAATAGCTCGAAAGAAAGAATTCTAAGAGAAAAAAGTGGAGAACTTGTAAATTGCAGATTTGAAGAACAATCATGATTAAGTAGCGAAGATATCCTGAACCAATTAGACTAGAAGGGACATCTAAGCTTCATTTAGCGACGGAGATGTACTCATTGAATGCTGAATTTTACCTACATTCAATAAGAGTGCTACCGTTAATAGAAAATTTTCATATGGTGATGTTAACGTAGAACCTGAGATATTTTTGGTAATGAAAGTTAAGAAAATGGACATCAGTTCCATTACAGAGCGATAACAGACAATGATAAATTTATGCTGCTCGCGCATATATGCGGAAACGATGCAACGTTTCTGATACCTATCAGACGTTGCCAGGGTTGGTTCATTTCATTGGCTATCTTGAAAAGATCTTCGAGAGCAAACTTCGTGTAAATCTGCATCTTGTCGATGGCAGTACTAAACGAAGCCAGTATAATTGATAGTTGTTCGGCACCTCGATGTGTAAGACGTTTTAAATCGTCTAATCCTGTGACTAATTCATTCTTGACCGATCGATGAATATCACTGTAAAAAATTTGTGCTCGAATTTCAATCAAAGCTGTCTTAGCCCGAATGAGATGTCCTGGGGCGCTGACATCCGTATCAATCAATTTTTCAGAAAGTGAAGCAGTTTTCTCGTCAATCATGCTTAGAGGAGATAAATAAACCTGTGAAAAGTCACCACTTCGACAAAATCGGCACACCAAAAGTATGCTACATGCATGGGAGCAAATGATATACACATAGATTCTATAGAGAATACCGAAGATGCTACTAATGATGATCAGTGGTTTTAAACATCAAATCCACACTGATCTGATAATATCGATGAGTTCATCAAAAAAAAGTTTGTTTTATTCTACGAAAAAAACATGATTGATTAGAAACAGAATTCGCCACTTGTTTGCCACTAGAACTCTTATGGTTTTGTGTTTCAACTATGAAATTTTCTCTAAAGTATCTTTGATGCTTCTCTCGAATGGAAGAGTTTTGATCATTGATACTATTGTCACTGTCATCACTTTGAGCATCATGATGATCAGCCCATATCAAATGTTGAATCGTTGTCGATGAAATCTAAAATATAATTCACACAAAATTTCAAGTGACTTTATAGATGGTAGAATTCTAAGGTTAGTCAGCTGATAAATAAAAATCTGTATTTGATGACCCAAGCGAACTTAACGGCAACTTCTTATGTATTGAAATGACTCATGTTTTCCTATCTATAGTGATTTATTTTTTCGAAGAACACGAAAATAAACTTAAGGCAGTAACAAAAAGTAAAAGATAAATGTAAGTCACACGTGTCCAGAATTGAGATAAACAAGATAAGAGAGGCAAATTTCTAAAAACAACCTAAGTGAAAAAAAACAAAGGTTAAGCAATGACATTATCAATAAACCTTTTTCTTAGTTAAAGTCCAAGGGCAAGTCAAAAGTTGACCTAGATAACTCGATGTCTGTTTTACTATGGATATCAATATAGAATCTGTCATCTATCTTGTTGATAGGCATAAGTAGAACGATGATTTCAACAAATATTCGTACAAACTTGCTGCTATCATTAATTTTTTTTCAAATTCATATTGTTTCCATAACTATAAAATTGAATCAAAGTAAAAGCTTCATCAAATCATTTTAAGTTTGAACCTCTATATTCAAAGATTTTTATCGAAAAAGTGAACTTTCCAACCAACACGTCAGATTCAACGATATATTTAATAAGAAGAAAGATATAGAAAAAGATAAGGTGACAAAAAAGGTAGAATACAGAATATGAGACAAGAATGAGAGTAGAAGCGAATGAAAATATGGCTGAGTAAAAAAAGAAATATGACTAAAGTAAATATAACTAAGGAAAAACGAAAACATATTAATATCAAAACATAAAGCACAGCACCAATAGAAAAAGGGAAACTACAGAGCAAAACAAACGTACGTACATAATAAATATCAAAACAGAACATTAGCAACGGTTGTGCCGTCACACACGTGTCCCATGTAATAATATTGTCAAAAAAAAATTTTTTTTTGGCATATATAATTGTGAATACGTTCAATATTGTTTATTGTGTGTTGATCGGTCAGTCACAAAATAATTCAATGTGAACATTTCTATCGGATTGGATCGTTTAGATATCCTGTCAACTTTACGAACATACAACAAAACACGGTTGCCCATCGCGTTGATCGATCTGGTATAGAATGTGAGTATAAATATGACAATGCATTTGTCATCCACAACTACATCCATGTCCTCAACTCTAATTCGTAAAAGCCTTTGAAGAAGCAAATCCTGTTGTTAATGTTTTCTTTTGCGAGACAAAAGAAGTTTAATGGGCTAAAGTCACTGTTCTCAATAGAAGTGAAAAGTAGTTTAGAATATTTCTTCAATTCGTTGTGTCAGAGGAAGAATTTTCCCAATGAAAAGTCCTGCTCATAGTTCGTTGTTGATTTCATTAAAAAAAATTTTCGTTCCTATCATAGGTAAAATATCAACCCACTAAATAAATGAAATGCATGATATTGCTCTATAAAATAAGGATAAATGAACATTGTATCTAACATTTGAAGAAATAGGAAAATACATTGATACGTTGAGAACACAGCTTCGTAAATTATATGCAATCATCAAAAGATAAAACAAAATAGAAATAAGCTAATGAAAGTGCAACAGAAATATACATTGAAATACGAGTGTGATACAACTGTCTTGAAGAAAAACGCTCTAAAGAAAAAGTATAAAATAGAGCATAATTTTAGCTTGATCTTTCATTAGTTTTATTGTGTAAATTGATTTAACCTGAGTTGCCCAGATCTATTGTGATTTTGAAGTTTTAATTTCATTTATGTTATTATCTGCCTCATGCAGATAGTTACGAGTGAGATAGGATTGAATAAAAATCTCAACTGCCAGTTAAAAAAAATCTTCTATATACGAAGATCTTTTTCAACAAGAAAATTAACTTAAACAATGGTCTCTTAGTTTCATTTAGTTGTATTCGGTGTTAAAACTGTTCGATATGTGCTCGAAAGCTCGAAATTTTCTTTTGAACTTCTTCATACAATTAACGAATATTTCGTATCTATTTTTATAGTAACTCTCAAAATTTGTTCCACTAGCATCCACATAATAATAGGGTGTAGAGAATTTTATTTTCCATAAGAATTTGTCACAATGAAAAATATTATTAGAGATCCTTCCAACGGTAAAGTCTCTGGAAAAATAAATAATAAGTTTTTTTTTTAACTTTTAGAATTTATAATAAAATTCTATTTAAATTCCATAGAATAATAAAGCAAAGAATTTTCCTCAAAATGAAATATCTTCTGGCACTTTACTGCGCATTTTGTTCTATTATTTTCCATAGAAATTAGAACTAATTACATACGATAGTCAAAAATTCTTGTTTTAACTTTCGAGTATATTAATAATATTAGTCATTTTTAATGATGAATAATATTATAAGTACAAAAAAATATGCGTAGAAATATCTTGAACTATTATTTTAATGACACGTACACTACAGGAAACAAATCTAAAAAAAAAAAAACGATGAACTTGTGAGATTTTATCACCATTATCTTAGCATATAGTGAATACTATTAATAGAAAAATAAAATAATGAAAAACCCTCAATAACAAAAATTATGCAAAAAAAAAGAAAAAATACGAAATAGAGGTAGACACAGAACAACGCTTTCTGTCATGTCACGTGTCCAATTCTTTAATCATTTTTGTGCCTTCCATGAAAATTGATGTCTGTCGATCAAAATAACAGCATTTTTATTTGTAAAGAATCATTTTCTTTATAATTCAAACAAATTTCGATTTGTAAATTCTAGAAGCTAAACAACTTGATCTTTGACTTTTCAAAAACTCTAATTAATGGTTACAGTAATGAATATCAAAATTGAAAATAAATCTCATTAATTTTTTTCTAACACGTGACCATAGACTCTTGAGATTGTTTTATTGAAGGTCATTTTTTCGACATATGTTTTTTTGACCTCCATGCATCTATCTATACTTAAAAAAATAATTATTGACAAAAAAATATTCAGATGCTTGCGGACTCATTCTTGAATAATTTGATAATATTGCAGACATTAGTTTTTTTTTGTTTTTCTTCTTAGTAATTCAACTTATCATTTAATATATATGAAGTTCTTAACTAATGTTATTCTTAATATTATATTACTGAATAAAAAGTATTTATTCTCTTTTGAAATAGTTGATCTTAATATTTGTTCAATAAAATAATCTGTATAAAAACATGACATTGTTATATGTCAGCATTCTTGTATTATCATAAAACACACACAAAAAAAAAAAAAAAAAACAAAATCATTTTATTTATTTAGAATAATTTTCTAAAAATTCAATTTTAACAATAATATATCTTATTATTATTATTGCGAATAATAAAGAAAAAAAAAAAAGAAGCAAACAAACAAAATTTTTCCGAAAAATCTACTATATATCTCTAGTGTTCTTTTCAATACATCATTTTAAATTGGAATAAATGAGTTGTTATTTTCTGTCTTTCTATAAATAGAAATAAAAACGAAGAAATAAAAGGGTATGTAGTACACGCTGATTTTTTCTTCTTCTTCTTCTCTGCGCAATATATGACTGTTCTTTCAAACCTCAGGGTAGCGTGCATCGAGTCGATGCACATGCAACCATTTGCATTCGTTCTACTTTACAGAAAGAAAAACGTTTTTATTCTTCGTCGTTTCTTTAATTCTCATTTATGTTCTAGATATGAGTTAAAGTTAAACGATATACAAAAATTTTAATTTTCAAAAATTTATTCGATTGTTTTATGTGATTTTTTTGTTTAACAAAAAGAAAGTTAAGACATTTTACAATGAATAATCAACTTATTAAAAATTGGAATCATACAAATCAATATATGAATAATATTAAAAAATCAAAGAAAATTCCATTGGTGTGTAAAATATGTGGAGCTCCTGCATATTATTCGTATGTTAGTGTTATTGTATGTTTTTCTTGTAAAATGTTTTTTAAACGTAATGCAGAAACAAAACAGGTATCTAAATACAATTTTGTGTGTGTGTATATGTCGTGTTATCAATGATTTATTTTTTTTGCAGGACCATTCCAAATGTCTTTTTGATGGTCATTGTGATATAAATATTTTTAATCGTCATAATTGTTCATCTTGTCGACTTAATAAATGTTTTCAAAGTGGTATGCAAATTGAAATGCTTCGTTCATCAAGAACAACAAAAAATAAAACAAGACGAACAAATCGAATGACAAAAATATCAACTGTTTTAGCAAAATTAAAAGATATAGATCAAATACAACAAGTAAGATTTATTTTTTGTCTATTAAATTTTCATAAGTATATTAGAAATATTTACTTAATGTTACTTTTTTTTTTCTTACTTAAGATTTTGTTTCTTAATTTTTTGCAAAAAGAAAAATAAAACATTTGAAGTATAAGAATATTCATTGATATCTTATCTTTTAGAATATTTTTTTTTTAAAATAACTAGATTTTTAATAAAATCATAAGAAGATCATTTGATAGTACCTATCAAAGTTGTTTAATAATAATATAGAGGTTTGATTTTTATTTATACAAGGTGTTTTACTATTAAATATCAAGGTAAATATGTTTATCTTTTACAATCAAAACCAAGGCAAATGTCACTGTGTATATATGCACCAACTGTAGTTTTTTTTTCTTGGAATATTCAAACATTATTTTTGACTACCTTGATATGTAAATGTAGAGCATTTAGTATAAATCTAACTCAAAGTAATAATTAGTATTTGTATAATATTTATGTTGTACAAATATAAATAGAATTTATTTGTATAAGCTGTATATGGTTTCTTTTTTTTGAGAATAAAAAAAGAATAAAAATTGAACAACGAAAATGAAAGAAATAAATAAAAATTAATTAAGATAGAGAAAATATATAATTATTTTTTTCTAATTTTATCAAAATGAATGATGTCAACTAGTGCATTTAAAGAATACCACAATATAAAAATATGTGCATTATCTAAAAAAGTAAAGAATAAAAATATTGAAATATTACAAAACACGTTTGCTTATTTCATCTGTTACAAGTTAAAAATTTCCATGAAATTTTCTTTTTCATAATCTGTTTTTTTTTTATACTTTTTGACCGTTAGAAAAAAAAACAAAGTAAAGAATGACATTTTTTCTTTTGTCAAGGTCTTACTGTAGATAAATCTTTTTTTTGTCCTGTGTGACTCCTGGTATTCAGATTCTTGTTCTTTTTTCTTTTAAAAAGCATATTTAAATACGATGTTTACTAAAAATGTTCAGACAAAAAAAAAGAATTATTTTAACAAAAAAGCAGTGCTATGATGTTGCATTTAATTTGAAACTCGGTATATCTTCCAGTATAATGAAATCGTAGAAATTTTTCTTGAAGCCATGAATAGACTATGATTAAGATGGCAGTACTCTAATAGTATATGTCAAGCTGACATTTTGACCTAAAAAAAAATATTGCTCTATACAATCTTTCATTTCTAAAAGTTTTAAACTAAATAGTTTATGATAAAAGGATAATGAATTATGAAGAACTCTTAAAAATATTAGACAGAAATAGAAAAGTCTAGATTTCTTTTGTGTCTTTTCTATTACTCATTAAATAAACATCGTCTCAATGCAAAAACCGATTTGACATCTGGTGAAGTTCACTCGTCAACTAAATTCATATGTTTACATTTTGTTAATATTATGAATATAGAGACAAGGTGGTATCTGTTTCAAATTGTCAAAGAACTATTAACAAAAAAATAAAGTTTAAAATTCTTTCATTATAATATTTTCTATTTCTATGCAAGTTTTTTTTTTTTATATAATTATATTATTTAAAATAATAATTTATAAAAATCTTAACAAATTTTAAGTAAATAATTACAAAAATATATTCTTTTTTTAGTTACCAACTTCAAATCTATTACAATCTAATCAATCAACATTAAGTATAGATGATTGGAATCTTCTATCAAATTTAACTCGTTGTTATGATGAATATAATGAATTTTCAATAATACAACATTTTTTATGTGAACAAAATAATTTACCACCAAAAATGCGTTATAAATTATCACGTATTAATGAACTTTTTCTATCATTTATTAATCGATCTCAATATTTCTATGAAAATAATACTCATTTTATTTCTTTATGTTCACATGATCGTTATATTTTACTTCATAATACAATGAAATATGTTGGAAGTCTTAGTGCATGTTTTATAACACGTCATACTGGTCTATTAAATAATTTAGCTTTTTATAAATCTATTGAAACTATTTATGGATCAAATACATTAAATAATAGTTATCGTATAATTAATCAACTTAATTTTGATAGTACATTTTTTCAATTAATACTTGCACTATTGATGTTTTCGACATTTGACTATACATATTATAAAAATAATGCTTCACTTAATTTACTAGATATGAAAAGTATATTACGTATTCAAAACATATATGCTGAATTAGCATGGCGATATTTAATTTGTAAATATAATTATGGACAAGCTGTTATAAATTTTTCTAATCTAATACGATGTCTTTTTTCTTTAAATGATACGATTGTTGAAGCAATTGAACTTGAACAATGTAAAGATATGGGTGATTTAGTTGTTGAACAAAATAAAAAAACAATTACATTACTGTAAATAATTTTGTTTGTTGTTGTTGTTGTTTTTTTTTTGTATATAATATTTAGCATTAACAGTTTATGTTTTGTTTTTAAAAAATCAGAAAGTAGATATAGTTATTGTAAAAAAAAAAATAAAATATCCGTTTATTTGACTGTTTACTTTTGTTAATAGAAATTGACTCTATCGAATGATACAGGGTGTCTCATAAGTTGTGGCAGATTTTTTTAAATCTAATTTTTGATGATAATGAATACAAATCAAACTCAAACTTACACGTATCATACAACTTAACATGTACTTTTATTTCATATATTTTATTTGAATTTAATCATTGGATATACAAAAAAATAAAGAAATTGGTACATGTGCAAAATAAGCACACCATCAATGTGTTACAATATATATACCCCGACAAAAGTTTCACTCTGTATTTCTCATATATTGTCACTATAAAAATAAGTTATTTTAAAACTAATTACATATTCTGAAAGCTCGCGGAGTTTTCTATCATTCTGTAGAATTAGGTTTTAGTTTTGACCTTTTCATTACCAAAATAAATTGAAGACAACGAAGGCACCCTCATGTCCAGATTCCCAGACTTGATCTTTCCTTCGTCATCAAAACTAGTTTTAAAAATTTTTCATCCGTATAGAATGATCTGTATGAAAAAGTAACTATAGATTCTGATAGAGCTTAAAATTCTCTATCACCCTGTCTATTTACTTATTTTCTTGCGTTTATAGATTGAAATAAAATTGAATACAATGAATATACTCCGAATCGACTAGCCCAAAAAATTTGCATTTTTTCGCTACTTTGTTAGTTTTTTCTCCAATTACTATTCCTATGGGAGTAAGTTTTTACAAAAGAAATCACACATTCTGATAGCACTTGAAATGCTCTATGATATTATGTATTAATACAGTGTCTTAAATTTAAGTAGCGAAAAAATGCAGACTTTTGATATTTGTCAATGGAGGGTATGTTCATTGAATTTGTTTATTTTCTTGTATATTCAATGATCTAATCCAAATAAAATATATGAAATAAAAGTACATGCTAAGCCGTGTCATATGTATAAGTTTGAGTTTAATTTGTATTCATTATCATCAAAAATTAGATTTAAAAAAATCTGCCACAACTTATGAGACACCCTGTATAAAATTTATTGACGTAATCGTTCATATAGAAAGACATAACAAAATAAAAGAGATATTATCACTTTAATTGTCTAACGAAGGAATGTTTTCAATTGATCAATCACTTTTTTCATTAAAAATTAATGAATTGTAGATTATTGAAAAAGAAAACCACTATCAAAAGACTGATCGATCAATTGAAAACGCTTTCTTGTCAGTATGAAAAGACAAGAAGAAAAAAAGTAATATATCTCATACATGATGCATTTGAGGAATTGAATTCGATGGTAAACCTGTGTCATGAAATGCTTTTCTTGTATTACCCATTTGATATTCTTGTACTGTCATATGTGTACAATGAGGTTCATATGAAACCCAATCTGTATCACCATTAATTTCATCATCGGATGCTGTATGTGAGACAATACGCATTCGAGATATTGTATCATGATCATCGAAAGATGTTTGAACGCTTACATCACAACATTTGATTGTTTGATGACAATTTGAACAAATAAAATGTGTAGATGGATAACGATGAACAGTATTCGATTTAAAAAGACCTTCAGCAAGACGAAGATTATCAACAGCTGTTGTTGTAGTTGGTGTTGTTTGAGTAATAGTTGATGATGAAGAATTCGTTGTATTGAGCAATGGAAGTGCCGTAACAAATGTTGGTGGAAAAGTAGGAATTACTATATTATGTTGAGATGATGCAGTTGGAGTTGTAGGTGTCTGAATCATAGAAAAAAAAAAGAAAATTTTATTTCAAAATTAGAAAAATTATAAATTAAAAATTTAAGTCTCCCGAAAAATAATTTGACACTTCATTTTTGTTTTTTTTTCGTAAAAATTCTGTTTTATTCTTTTTGAAAAATATGTTTTTACTCTAATTGTAAATTTCACAATTTTCAAAGTAGCTAATTGCTTTTTGTTTCTGTTGAAAAGAGGATATTAAGATGCATCGCATGATAAAGTCTCTCGTTTTAAATAAAACATCGTTACGATTATTAAAATATACTTTTTCTTAATTATAGTAATATTCTTCGAGAACTGTTTGATACTTTGAACTCATTCCTATTTAAGAGGTAAAAATATGAAAAAAAACACAAGGTTCTATTATTGTCTTACATATTGACATGCTCTTGCAAATAAAAAATTAAATAGTAGAATAAAATCTTATATAGAATTTTGCATTGTTAAATGACCTATTTTTGATCGTTTGTTAGTTGAATATTTTTCAAAAGCATCATGCTATAGAATTGAAAATTTTCTTGTGAGTTGAAGTCTTAATCGATATTTGAGGAATCAAGTGAGGATTCAGTATTGGAGTCATTTTTCAAGAGTAGTATTCTCAATAAATTAGAGTATAACAGGTGATTCGTTGATTAAAATGTAATCGACAGAAAAGATATTTATGATGAAAGTGCACTAAATGATCAACCTCCTATTGATTGAAAACAATTTGTTGTACCGTTTGAAAAGAATTCGTGCTATTAACTTATTGTTGCTGAGATACGAAACCTTTACGGTATTTTTTAGTGAAATACTTTGGTTTTTCTTAGATACATTAAATTTTTTGGTCTTTTTGATTTATTTCTATTCTAGAATAAGAATATTTTATTTTTTGATGTATTGAACTAATGTTCTATAGAAATATTTGAAAAATGATTTTTTTTTTTCGTTTTTCGATCTACTCACAGATTCGTTTTTATTTTGTAATTGTTTTTGTATTAAATCTGGTTTTGTTGTAGTAAATTCATTTGGATGTCGATGTAAAAGTCTAACAGCTAAATTACAATCATCTTTATATCGTTGTTTTTCAATTTCTAATTCATTAATTGTATCTTTTAAATTAATAATTTCTTGTTTAGCATCAATTAATTCTTGTTCTAATTGAGATTTTTCATTTGAATATATTTCAACAATAGAAAGTATTCGTTCTTCTAATAAACTATTTTGTGTTTGTAATTGTCCATGTACATCAATTAATTTATGATAACGTTCATGCATTAATGCAAGATCACGTGTAAGAGACTTTATTTGTTCATTATTTATGTCAGTCATCTTTGAATAAAAAATAAAAATAAGAGTATTTATTTACTAGAAATCTAATTGTATTTTTTATTTTTCAATTTTATTTGTGATAAAAAAAAACAAACATTCATACTGAACAAAAAAAATTAGGTTAAAAAAAAGAAATTTCAAAAAAAAAAAAATATACTTAAAAAAAAAAAAAAATAAAACAAATAAATTCAATCATACGATATTTTCTAACGAACATGTTCTTAAGAAAATATAATTTATTTCAAAGATACTCATATATTTAGGTATTGATCCAAGCGTTTCTATAGGTATATGGATAATCATGATAGCATCTTAAAGTTTAGATTCGAGCATTTTCGGTTTTGAATTATTCATTCAATTGTATGTAAAAGAATGATCATGTTTCTGAGTCTAGATTGGTCTTTAAAAAAAATATGTTTTCACTGTATTGAGTACAGTTCTACTAAAGCATAATAATAAATTAATAGTATTGATCTTGCAGAGAATTATTTGCTCTAGAATTCTATGTAAACTGAATAAAATTATATCTATTTATTCTAAGTACTACTAAACTTTCTCTATTCAAATTCCTACTTAAGTTGTTTCTGACACTTACGGTAATAGAAAATAAGTCTTGTAAAATCTATTTTGAAACTCATTATATCCATCTGTCGCCATATGTGACATTCATTTAATATGTTTGGAAAAGATTTCAATTGAAAAAAATCTATAGAATATCTGTATAGTCTTATTTTATTTAATAGATACTGATTTTTTATTGTCAAATCTATTATTATTTTGTTTTCAATAAAATAGATGACATCTGTTGAATCAAATTAATTTTCAATACTATTAATTTATTACTTAAATTGAGCTCGAAACAAAATTTTCTTATCAACAAGTCTCAATTTGTTTCTTTTCGCTTACTTCTACTTCTTTTTTATCAATCGATTGTAAAATAATCGCAGTCAAGGTCAAACTCGAACGTTTTGATTGGATGTATATCTATTTAAATGAAATGATCAATGATACACTAATAACATATACAAATATTCGAAACGTTTTATTATATATAACTCATTCCAGATATTATATTTACTTTTTACAAACTCAAATTGAGTAGTAAATGGACAATAATTTGAAAGATCTTTAAAAAAAGTTATCAAAGTGAAAATCCATCAATATTGAATGTTCAGGTAGCAGTCTGTTTCATTTCACGAACAACAATAACAGAAGAAATTATGACTAAATATCTTCTAATACAATCAATAATTTCACAAAAAAAAGACACAGTTACATGATTGAATTGAAATGTTAGAAGATATTAACAATCAATAGAATGAAGTTTCTTTTTACATTTAAATAGATGACCTATGTATATAATACATATTTAAAAGTTTTTTTAAATTCAAAATAAGAACGAATAATGAAAATCAATGACTTCGAATGTAGAACTTTTTAGAATACTATTTTTTTTTCAAAGATTTCGAAAAGGATGAATTTATATATTTTAATTAATAGTAAAAAATAAATCATTTGAATTGTATAAACGATATTTACATAAGCTTTACGTACGAACTTTTGAGAACATATTCTGTAGTTTTAAGTAAATGATTTGAAATTCTTATGTATGTATATCATAAATAATAGTTGTTGTAGATTTGTACACATTCATAGGAATTTCATGTTTACTTAATTAATATCACGAAGTCAGGAAAAGATTGATTTAATCTATAATATAAAAATAAGAAATTATATGAAAAAATTCTGATTTCCATGAAAATTTAATTTTAATTTAAAATTTAGAAAAAAAAATTAACAGAATTTTTTTTTTTTTGATTAATATGCAAAATTTTCGAATGCTGACGAGAAACGGTTATATTTCACAGAGTTTCATTGTTTTCGCTAATATTTTATGTGTAAATGGAGGGTTATTTATTCTATAAAAAAAACAAAGCCTAAGTGAATTAAGACTGATATGTGTTCTTTCAATAGATGTAAATATTGTCACACTTATCTTACGAAAGAAATTATGAGAGAATTTCCCTTCAATAAAATATAAAGTATTTATTTACATTGAACATTTCAAGACATTCTAAATAGATTCAAAATACACTAAAAGAATAGAGATTTTTCTATTAGAAGATCACAGGGGTGATATTCTCGCAAGATTTTCTTAGTCTCATTCATATCTACTTCTACTCATGATATAGAGTTGTTACTGATGTACAATTAGAGTGATGCTCATAATCAGCGAAAAAAAAAACGATGTGAATCTTCTCTCGTTACAGTCACGATCTATAATATTCTTCTTTTTAGATATTTCTTACGACATAAGAGAAGATATTCAAGTTTTTTCTCTTCAGTAAAACATATTATCGCATCTAAATGCCGCTTTGAAATAGAAAATAGTATGAAATAATTCTTTATAACTAGCATCGAAACATTACTATGCGTATGTAAAATCATAAAATTTCATTGTTTTTTAGACTTTTAGTCTATCAGAGGAATTCTTTCGATTAGATTGCAGATACATAATACTCAGAAAATTATGTAGATTAACGAATTTTATTTTCATCCATCCAGGGACGGCGCGAAGAGATCGGAGCAGGGGTGGGCAGTCCTAAAATCGGAGAAAGTCAATAAGTGTTCTCTAAACTGAAATTTTCTCCGAATCAGAATTTTATAATATACTTCTCCAAAATCGGAGAAAATCGCCTAAAAATGCTCTCCAAAGTTGAATTTTCTGCGAATTTAGAGAAAACTATCAAGTATATTTCTCCGAAATCTGAGAAACTACCAGCCAAAATTTTCTGGAGCAGAAGAGGGGTGACCCCCTATCCCCCCCTCGCAGTCACGCCGTCCCTGCATTCATCAAATTATATTTATGAAATAGAATAGAATTTTCTCATGACTTACATGTATTTGAATAATATATGCCCAAGTTTCATATCATATCATTTATATCAATTTGATGTTTCATATATAAAATGTCAATGTTATGATGTGCAATCGTATGTTTAACTGAAGTATTTCATGCACACCACATAGCAATAATAGATCAATTAATTTCTATTACTTCATGGCCTAAAATTGATCGAATAAATATGAATAGATACATATCAAAGTTATGAATGCAGTTTAAAATACGTTTTTTTTTGCATTGATGAACATTTAGATAATAGTTATTGCTTTTTTTTAGTGTTTCAATCTATGCACTCTTTTTTATTAGACACAGAAACAGAAGATGATTTCTCTTAAACTTGAAATTTGTGTTAGATTGAAATAAAATCTCATATACAAAGTAAACTCATAATTTCCAATATCTGGTTTTAGAATCAAACAACTATTTACATGACTATTTTCTCAGCTAATAGGTAAAGGACATAGCCATTCTTTCAGGAGCAAGAATAGTTACATCAAGAAGATCTATTGAAAGACTATTCCTAATTTGATAATCGAAAAATAAGAATAGAATTTTGGAAATCACTAAAGTAAAATGATTCCCAAAATTATGTGAAGTAGAAATTGTTAAATCTTCAGACAGATACAGAAATTTTTAATCTATTTTAAGAAATTTTCATTATTGAATTGTTCAAATTAAAAACGTCTATATATTTCCATATTCAAACAAAACAATATTATTTATATATACTGAAATTTTTAATCTAAGAAATGAAGATTTTTTGGCATAAATTTAACGACTATTTTATCTATCTGCTGACTTAACAATTCGAATGCGTTTTTTGGAATAGTCAAATTTCTAAGGACTCACTCCCTCGATTTCTTTCTGCTCAAGATACTACTACTCACATCTTGAATGAAAATAAATACATACCCAAAAAACAAATATTTGAAACAAAACTAAATTTCAATTTTGAAAATTGTAAATGATATAAAGCTCTAATGATTATATAGAAGACATACAGTTTTAATGATAATAATTGTTGAATTAAATACTGAAATAATTCATTGATAAGAGAAATTAAATCAATAATAAAAGCTTATCATGATATAATTAAATATTCGATGGTTTCTATTCAGAAATTCATATCATTTGATCTAAAGCAAACCGAATTATACTGAGTAGTATTATTCATTAACATAAATCAAATTTATATGAAGCCAGAAGAATAATTGGATATTTTACATCTAAAGATATTTTAGATGTAGATTTAATTTGACAAAATTGAATATTATCGAAGATCGATTGATCTTCAATTCGATTTCATGCTTCGAAATTTTAAATATTTTCTAGTTCGTAATAATTTTCCATCATTGAATCTATTTTTAAACAAACAAATTTATCTTTCTACTTCAATATTAACTAATTTTTCAATAAAAAGTAAACTTTCAAATTTATTATCAAATTGAAAAATATTTTAGTTTAAATAATTTCTTTTTTTTTACTCACAAAATTAATTATACTATAAACGTCATTTCATGTCATGACATTTTTGTTTATTTATTACAATATCTTATCTGATATATGCTTCATTTTCTACTAATGCATAACATTTATTTACTCAACGAAGTTTAATTTTACTTATCTATCTATTTGTATAAATACTAAGTATTGGTAAAATATCTTTAATTATATTAATTTTTATTGAATCAAGATGTCACTCAATATCATATATTATACTAATAAAATTCATTGTTAAATAAACGATAAAAGTTAACTTGACAACGATTAATAATCGTTAAAAGAAAACAGACAACATAGTTTTAATAATCATATATTTTAAACAATATTAAATATTTCCTCATGGATGTGTTCATAATAATAAAACATCAGTATGTATTAAATAAAATGATATTTTAACGAGAACAACATGTGATAAGAGAGTACAATCAATATTAGATTATTATTGATACACTATTTATAAAAAAAGAACACTACAACACAACTAATGAATCAGAAAGACCTTGGTTGTCATACATAAGTTGGTTCAAAACGCTAGATGTCACTGTTTTTTTAAATAATTTTTTTTTTTTTTTTGGTTACTAATGTCATTTAA